ATTTGAGCAGCTGACTGTCAGACTATCCAACTGCTCTAAAACAATTCTATCTCCCAGCAGTTTGATTACAGGGAAGCAGAACTTCTACATTATTATCATTAACAAAACTAACTTACAGATTAACTTGTTTGTCTAAGGTAACGCTGAAAAACATACGGGAAAGCTCAAGATTGAATAAAAGTCTTTTCAGGCTAGTAGCAAACCCAATTTCACTTTCTTTAAATTGATCTTTGTACACTGAAGATTGCCCCTGTTCTGCCACCCCTAAGCAAAGAGCAGGAAACATTCAGATATTTTGTAGGCATGCATAAGAGGCATTTGGTTGTGAACAAAAGCTTCGCTAAAGTCAAGTCGTCTGGAATAAGGCCATTTTCTGAAGTAGCTGTATTCACCAGACACCTAATGTGCAATTTTCACATGCCCCAAACACTCACAGTGACACAGGTTTCTCATGAGAGGCAGCTTATATTAAAAATATTGAAAAGACTTTCGGGGAAAGGAAAGCCTTTGAAGACAGAAGCAAGCCGATCGGGATTTGCACGATGGTGATGTAATCAAGCCAAACAGTCACCATCACTGAGATACGCTGGGTACATCTGTGCAGTCCCTATCACAAGAAAATCACCTCAGCATAATAAACTTTGGATACCATTTATGTCTTGACACTACCATGTACAGAAAGGACCCTTCTCTCTGCTTGAATGAGCAACACTTGTAAAGGATTATAAAGTCAGAACAGGAGCAGCTCCCAGCTATCATTTCACTACTGTTAGCTAACCGTGGGAAGAGTTTGATTTCGTTACATAAACTAATGACTAACAATCATTTAGGAAGCATTTATGAGCCTAACATAAAACACAATACCAACAAATACAGTTTGTTTTCTAAGAGTGAGTAAAACCAGACTTCCTTAGCATTACTGAATTAATAAACAACCTTCTAACAATTGAAGGTAGAATTCTTCTAGGCTTCTGCAGTACAAACCAGTACCCAGTGACAGGAGATTGGTAAAAGTATTTCATCAGTTCTGAAATAGCCCAGGCTGGACATACTCCACTACTAGCAAAATATTTAGGTTCACTTGTTTGGTTTAATCCTAACATTGAAATGCCTGGTCAAAGGCAATGCTTGCAAACTGTTTTCAGGCACATACACGTTCAAGCAACACACGTATGGCATCAAATTTCACTGTTCATTCTATTTACTTTTGTAAAAACGGAGAACACTCCAGCAAGACAGTGATGAATAGTGCCATTTTTGTTCTGCATTAAAGAAATCTGTATCCACCAAGATGTTTCTTGTTAAAGAACCAAACATATATGTAAACTTGCCTTTTCTTCTAATGTTCATCAGTTTACCTGCCAACGCTTTAAGCGCTTTCCTGCAACTGATAAATGGCTGTTATGATCAAGTCCTAGTGTTCTTCCAAAAGGGCTTTTACACAGCAAGTCTACCATGTACACACAACTACTTTCCTTGAAACCTCATCAACTGCCTGCTTTCAGCTTAGACTACACCCAGGGAGAAAAAAAGACCATGCGAACTTGAAAAGCAAAAGTAGCACTTGAACAGAAAAGGCATCTTCCTTAAGAAGCCATGATCCCTTTTTTGGGTTCTCTCTGTGGCACATAAGAAACTCATAACATTATATGTAACTTATCATCAGCATGTTAAAGAAATCACATAATGGATATTTTCCAGTTTTAGGGACGGCTGTGGGAAAGTGATGTATAAAACACTGGAAACTGGAAATCCCAAAACAGCAGGAGAAAAAAAAAAAAAAAAGGCATTTTGGGAAACAAACAGGAGGAACTGCAGCTCCGTTCCCAGTCAGAAAGTTAGGATATCATAGGAATAACTGAAACATGGGGCAACTCACATGACTGGGGTACTGTGGTTGACAGCTATAGGCTCTATCATAAAGACAGGCAGGGTAGAAAAGGAGGAGGAGTTGCACTCTACATTAAGGAGAACCTTGAATGTATAGAACTCAACTGTGATAATTGTGGAAGCCCTATCGAATGCATCTGGGTCAAAATCAGAGGGGTCGTCTCCAAGGGAGACCTTACAGTAGGCATCTGTTACCGACCCCCAAACCAAGAAAAACGAGACCAATGAAGCGACACTTGGGTCAATCAAGCAAGCTTCAGGTCAACAAAACCTGGTTCTTCTGGGAGACTTTTAACTACCCAGACATCTGCTGGAAGAACAACACAGCAGTTCACCTGTCATCCATCTAGTTCCTGGAATGCTTAGAGGACTCCTTCCTCATACAAATATTAGATGTGCCAACCAGGAATGAGGTGCTGCTGGACTTGCTGCTCACTAACCAAGAAAACATGCTCTGCAATATCTCAGGTTAGTGACTGCCTTGGCTACAGTGATCGCAACATTGTGGAATTTGGGGTAAAGCCAAACACGCTGAAGGTTAGTTCCAAGACAAAGGTTTTCGACTTTAGAAGAGCAAACTTCAGCTTGCTCAGGGCTCAGTTGGAAGGGATCCTGTGGACCAGTTCATCCCCAGATAAAGGAGCTAGTGAGTGCTGGGACTTTTTCAAGAACACTCTCCTAGATGCACAAAACCAGTTCATCCCGCTAAAGGCAAGGGAAGTAGCGGAGTAAGAGACCTCCTTGGCTTAACCACGAGCTTCTGGGTCTGCTCAGAACCAAAAGGGAAATATACCAGTGATGGAAAAGTGGAACATTTGAACCTGTTGAAAATTGCAAGGGCATTGCCAGGGTATGCAGAAATGCAGCTAGGAAAGCAAAAGCTCAGCTTGAACTGAAATTGGCCAGAGATCTCAGAAACTTCAAGAAACAGTTCTTCAGATACGGCAACAAGCAGGAACAGAAGGAGAGTACTAGCCTACTGTTAAATAGCAAAGGTGAACTAGTCACCAACGACGATGAAAAGGCAGAGGTCCTCAAGACCTTCTTCACCTCTGTCTTTACCAGTGCTGTTGGGTCCCAGGCCACAGGAACAAGAATCCAGATTGATGCAGACACAGACCCGCCGTCAGTGAAGGAAGAGTTGGTGTGTCAACTGTTACAGGAGCTTGACCCGTACAAATCGGTGGGCCCAGATGCCAGCCACCCAAGGATGTTAAGAGAGCGGGCTGATATTGCCACGAGGCTGCTCTCCATAATCTTTGAAAAGTTGTGGAGATCAGGAGACATGCCTGAAGACTGGAGGAGGGCTAATGTCACCCGTATCGACAAGAAGGGTTCTAGGTAGGACCTGGGTAATTATAGACCCATTAGCCTCATATCAAGCCCTGGGAAAGTTATGTAGCAAATCCTCCTGGGGACTATCACAAGTAAACTGAAGCATGTGTTTGGGAAAAGACAACATGGATTCACCAGGGGCAAATTGTGCTTAACCAACCTGATCGCTTTCTACGATAAAGTAACCCACTTGGTTGATGCAGGGTGAGCAGTGGACATGGTCTACCTGGACTTCTCTAAGGCTTTTGACATGGTCCCCTACAACCTCCTCCTCGAAAAACTGACACATTACAACCTAGACAAGTGGTCTGTGCAGTGGGTGAGGAACTGGCTGAGTGGCCATACCCAGAGGGTGGCAGTGAATAGTTCATTCTCAAACTGGCAACCAGTCACAAGCAGGGTCCCCCAGGGATCAGTATTGGGCCCATAGCTGTTTAGTATCTTCCCAAGTCATTTGGATGCTGGGATCAAGAGCACCCTGATGAAGTTTGCGGGCGACACAAAAATGACTGGGGTAGTTGACACTCCAGAAGTAAGACTCACCCTCCAGGAAGACCTGGACAGGCTAGAGGAGTGGGCTATCAGGAACCTTATGAAGTTCAACAGGGACAAGTCTAAGGTCTTGCACCTGGGAATACATAACCCAGGAACACAGCTCAGACTGGGATCCAGCTGGCTGGAGAGTAGCCCTATGGAAAGGGACCTGAGGGTCTTGGTGGATGACAAGCTCAACATGAGTGAATAGTGAGCTGCAGAGGCAAAGAAAGCCAACAGGATGCTGGGTTGCATTAAGAAGGGCATCACCAGCAGCAATAAAGAAATCTTATCCCACTCAGCTCTGCATTCACTTTCAATGCCTGCTGCATGAAAAAGATGGAGATGCTGGAAAGGGTCCAGGAAAAGGCCATGAGAATGATCAGAGGACTGGAAGATCTGCCATATGAAGAAAGGCTGAGAAAACTGGGTTTGTTCAGCCTTGAGAAAAGAAAGCTTAGAGGAGACCTTATCACCATGTTCCAGTATTTAAAGGGTGGCTACAAGGAAGATGGAGACTCCCTTTTTACAAGGAGTCACCTGGAAAAGATGAGGGGTAATGGATACAAGTCAGTCCTAGGGAGATCCTGATTAGACTCCAGAAGAAACTTTTTTGCTATGGGGACAATTAGACATTGGAATAATCTCCCAAGGGATTCCCCTACATTGGGCAGTTTTAAGACTCAGTTTGACAGGGTGCCGGGCCATATCATTTAAACTACATTTTTGCCTCGAAAGGTTGAACTAGATGATCCTTGAGGTCCCTTCCAACCTGGTATTCTATGATTCTATTTAAAGTAATGAAAAAATCTAATGAAAGAAAATTACAAAGTGGAAAAAGTTTTTAGCAGTCAGACAGAGGTCAGGACAGATTTCTAACCAGAGTGACCAAGGTAGTTTTATTGTTCCTTGCTGTTTGAAAAGCACCCTACTTTAGAGAGGAGATACCCAGATTTACTGTGCTGTTGACTCTCCACTTTATAGGTTTCTCTTCTTACATTGGTTTAAAAGTGAAAAATACAGAAAAGCAGCACTTCAAAAAATTCCAAGTTCTCCTGCTTGTCTGTTAACTGTATTGGCATACGTGCAGAGAGAGATATATACGGGTAACTGAGCACCTCAACGAAGAAAACACCAGGCATTTATTCTCTCTTCATAAAGTCATCTCAATTTTACCTTTTGGAACAACTTATCAGGGAGGTTCACATCATTCTGCATCGCAAAGAACAGAAGACAGACAGTGCATCAGACTAACACTTTAATCAGAAGTTTTGTTTTTAAATGTAAATTACAATCACTAATACACCTGCAAGTGCTTACCACATTTGTTCAACTAAAAGTATTCGATGTACGCAAAGACAGCATAGGTCAGTTTAAAACAATCACAGTACTTCTTAGTGCAATCTGCAAGAGGAGAAAGATCTTGGACCCACTTTGTGGAAATAAATATCAAGTGACAAAAAAAGATTCAGCGATTTTAATTATGCATATTCAATGAAGTTCATGCATGCGCAAGAGTAAAAAGATTTAGAGCTCTTCCTTGTAATAGCCAAGTTTTGCTAGTGACATCTCTCTTCTCAGCTGCATAACTTCCCAGAACATCTGATCCACTAAAAGAAAAAAAAAAGACAGAAATATCATTAAACATACTGAATTCGTATTTTATTTCAACTGATGTACACAGGCTGCCTCCCTGTACATCCGGTAACTTCAGAAGTAACAAACACGTAGTAAAAGCAGAATTGTTTGTACTTGGTTGTGACAAAAGTTGTTAAATTATTTTAAAAATTCTAAATGATGGTCCTATAAAATATTCCCCAAATTCTAGATGATTTATTTTTAAATTGGGGAACAAAAATACATCCGTACTTCTTGTCAGCTTCAATTAATTGCAGTTTCTCATTTTAATTGCCTTGCTCCCTTGACTCATTTTCTGTAAAATTAAAATACTACAAGAAGAAAAAAGTAGAACTTGTTGGGTAAGAACTGTTTCATCACAGAATCTGTAATTTTGTTAAAATTTTCTCATTTGTAATCCTTCTTCCTCTTTTTTCTACCAGTAATCTGCTAGCAACAATAAATTGGGGAAGAAAAAAGTGGGTTTTTTTAAAATTTCATCTGTATTTTGCTAAACTTGATGAGCCTGGTGCACACCTTAAGCTTCTAGACACCACAGCAATACGAATCAAAATTATTGAGTATACAATTATTCAAATTATTGAGTATATAATTATTCAAGACAAGAATAATTTCCATGCAGTGAAGATCATGATGTAGAATGACTACAAAGATTATTAACATAAGCAACACAGTACAAGGTCTTCCTTACCATATCTCAAACTCCACTTTTGTAAGTGACCTCTGTCTCAAAGTATATGGCGCACGAGTAGAAATACAAGCAACGCGCTATGCAGACAATTACCATGAGTGTAAAGGTATTGCTGAAATATTTACATAAAGCTACAAATGCAAATTCTATGTTTTTAATGGTAAAGACGACAATTGAGCTGAAACGTCAAACTCAAGTTTGAAAAAACTTCTTGTGAAGAATAAGTAATTCTGATAATGCTAAAAATATTTCATTATTTGATGGAAAAAACAGTAACTTAATTTCTTTATTTCAATAGCAAAGTAAATTTTTAGCTGAAGCTATATAGGTCCTTTTGGTCAAAGTAAAAGCCTTTTAACTATAAATCAAATTAAAACTTAACATATTTACAAGATCTTCTGCAACGCTAGTAAATCAGCAAAAGTTACCATCATCTGAAGGTTTTATTAAACATAATTTAGTGTATGGAATAGGTGAATTTCTATGGAATTCCATGAAAATAATTCCCTTTGACAAGGAAAGTTAACAGCATTATTTTTTGTAAGGAACAGTCTATCACCTCAGGAGTAATTCAGGTTACAAATGGAAACAAAAGAGTTCGGCGTAGTTAAAATACTGAGATCTTGAAACTGGGAAACATCAGAAGAGATTATTATAGGTGAGGTAGGTCAAAGTGGGACTAATTCTAGCCAAATTCTAGATAAAGCAAATCCACACAGACTTGAAGACTGGCAGAATAAAAAGCACAGACATCTATAAACATTACAATGCTTTAGTCTACTTTCAAAATACAACCAAACTAAAAAGAAATAATTAAATTTTAAAAGTGAACACAGTTATTTTTAATTAACTATTGACACAGAGCTAATGACACAGCATATACACTTTCATAACCATCGTCTTTTATACAGACATACTGAAACTGAATAGCACAGGTCAGCAAACTTCCAAATTACTGCGCAGAGTTTAAACAGGCAGTTGTTGGATATGCTACTCTGACAGGAGCAAAGCACCTGGTTAACAACCGTGGGGAGGAAAAAAAAAAACCAACCAACCAGCAGCCTGAAGCAGTGGCAGTAAAAAACACATTTACCCTTTGGGCTGGGGGGGAATCAAGCCTTACATTTATAACCAGAGCCCTAATCAAGAGACTGCGCCACGCCATAGCAATGAGCAAGACCTCATTTCTCAGCTGTACTCAGATGAATGGTTACAGTATGCTTTCCTGTTTGTTTTTTACAATTTAACCCAAAATATTGTCATCCTTGCCAGTTCTTCCTGAAGGACAGTCTAACAAGAACATCTGTCTGAATTCTCAATGCACAAAATGAGAAGATGCACCAAAACACCACGTGAAAAGAAAAAATGGCCCAGATCAAACCAAACTCAAGTTTTTCTGGTCTAAAATATCTCCATATTTTGTGAATGAGACTTGATTTTTGAATACTATGTGGAAAAACTGGGATTAACTCTTCTCATTACAGAATTTTTCATAATATTTCTTACTGAATAATGTGAGGGGCTTTCAGATGGACTAAAAATCACTGCCTTTTAATTTGTTGCTGTTAAACAACTTTATCGGACAGTAGAATATCACCAAATTCTTCTCATTACAACGATGACTAATAACAAATGCTTTCCTTAATTTCAGGTCACTGCTATGCTACTGTGCAGACAGCAAGTTTTAGGCACATGCACTATGTAAATTCCTATTTATACATGTCAAATTCAATTTCTTACTCACCATCTTGCTGCTTCAACAGTCCTTGCTGGATGTATCGAATATACGTAAAGAAGTTACACACCGAAGTGATCTGAACCCATATAAAAATAATGATGGTTAATATCATTTTGTATAATGGTATGGAAAAAATAACTAAATAACTGCTACTCAAAATGACATCACAGTGAATCTACTTACCCTGTAACGACAGAAAGGAGAAATGTAGTAATAACTGCTTGAATCTCCTAATTTGATTCTATGCTTGCATGACTTACTTTGTCCACTGAGAGCACATTTCCTACAAAAGAGAGATTTGGCTGATTTAATAAACAAATCTGACATTAATGTCCAAACACCTGTATGCGTTTAAGGTGTTAATGTAATTGCTTCATACTGGCACAAATACCCAAGTCTCTGCCTTCCTTTTACAAGCTGCAACTACTACATTTAGTTGTCAATTACTTTAGTTCCACAAGGACTAATTTTGTTTCAATACCAGTGCATCACTTTTAGAACTTTCTTCAGCTCTGGTCATGTACTTGCAAATTCACTAATTCAAGTTGGCTAGACAACTCTGCATTTCTTTTAATTAACTCATCCTATGTGAAATAAACATGGTTTAAATTTTCACTTGATGCCAACATTTAAATAGATTTTTTTAAAGAAAATTCTGTTTGATGTTGCATTTCATCATAAAAAATAGCAGCCCTACAGAACAGCGGCCAATTCTCTGAAGCCTCTCAGACGTGTTCTAGGACCAGCTTTGCATTTATGCCCAAATTGAAATCACATTTACAGTCAGAGTATAAAATAATTTGGGACAAAGGAAAACAGTCTGTCTGGCAATGATTCTTTCCATTATCATTATAAAAAGTGATGATAAAACAAATCACAGTCACTTCTGGTGTATTGCAAGTATGTCGTATTGACGAACAAAGAAAGGCAGTCACCACGAATTTTTCCCAAAAAAAACAATTCAGGGAAAGGCAAAGAATTAAAAAAAATGTCCTCCAACATCCTTAGAAAAAGCAGCTTTGAATCTCTTGAAGAAACTGCTATTAACACAATGTTGATAAATGTAAATAAAAAGGAAATTTGATTTATTTGGAATTTCTATATTGCAGTATCTCAGATGAACTGGGTTGTCATGGCATCCACTGTTTCATTGATTTTAAAAGCTGCTGGCTCTTCTCCCCTCCATTTCTACCTCACGGAATTAGGGAGTCTAAGAACAAGCAGCCGTTCAAAAGCGAAACAAAAATTACTAAGCTTCTGCAGTTCTAAAGAGTGGTTCAGAGGCCCTTTTAAATAGCCTGCAGCTGGTCCGCAGAACCATGTAAGAGAGGAGAAAATTGAAGAGTGTATATGATTTTCCATAGCAATTTATGAGGACTGACAGCAGTCCATTGATCCAAGAAATCCTATAGTAGCTGAAGCAAGCTGATTGCAATTTCAGTCAAGCTTTTGTGAGAAGACAGACAGACTTTCAATGCTAGGGAAATAAAGCCATTTTTTCCTTCTGGCTATAGAATTACCTGCTATACGTTTTCTTCCATCACACCAGGTTAAATGCTGGCATGACAGTTACTGCTAATGACTCAGTTCTGTGCCGTACAGCACACACGCAGCTTAGCGCTTTGTTCCCCATGGGGACAATTACTCAAATCCTGTGGGGAAAACCCAGCTGTCTTTAAGGCAGCACTTACTACACACCATCACAAGCACGATTCAACAACTTCCATATATCAAGAACCTTTCTTCACTGTCATCACAGCTCTCCACCCTCCACTCCTTATTTTGCTGTTGGGCTGTTACCTGCTATTTTATGCATCTGTTCCCCCATCCCTCAGGCAATAATATAATTCCTTTAAAAGCATTACTCTAGTTTCTGTTATTATTTAGCTACAGTTTGTCTATATTACGTTACCTATTTAAGAACATGGTTTCAATAAAAATAGCCCTTTGCACCATATAAAAATAAAAAATGTGAAACTGCTACTCCAACTCAGTGAAAACTGGAACACGTGTTTCCCATCCAGTGCCAGTAATCATGTATAAGGCAAAGCACATTTCTTGTCAAATTACACTTAAATACTGCATATTTCTTACCTATTACTTATCTACAAGCAATACCACGAAAGTTTTTGTCACTACAGGGCAGTGGGAAAAGGGAGAAAAGAGTAAGCCTGGCCTTTTGATACACCTGAAATAACTAAATGACAATTTCTGCATTGTCATCTCAAAACGTTAATCTATGCCTAGCCAACTATTTAAGGATTACATAAGTTATAATTAATAATCTTATCTTACACTGCAGAAAATAGGTTAAAAATCTCATGAAACTTCTGAATGATGCAACTGAGTTTCCTGGGTTTAGGTATTTCACCATGCCAAGATGCAGGGAAGTTGCTTGAACCACAATGATTTTAAATCGATTTGCCAATTCGCCAATTGCTCTTTAATGACACATGACTTGTTTCAGTAGCTTCTGGCTGTCCAGATTCTCTATCACATTCATGGAAGGCAGCTCACAGTGGTGTATCTTGGACTCGAAATCACAACCCCTTGAGCAGCTCCACTGTGGTTGGTGGGCCCTTCTGATGAGGGGCTCTACAGCTCAGAGCATGCTGTCTGGTGACAGGAATAAGCTGAAGAATATATGAATGCCTGAATGTTGTAGGCTAGAAAGGATCAAAGATTAAGTCATAAAATACAATTTTCATTTTATTCAGCTTCTTTAAAGAGAAAGTAAAAAAATCTTGATGTTAAGTGTATTTTCTCTTCCACTCAAAAAGAGGAAAAACAAGAACTAAAAAAACAATAGCAATGAGAAAAAAAAAGTCTTAACCAGATGAAAACATTTCGATGCAAGTTTTCTACCAGAAAATTGAGCTCTGTCGAAAGCATCACAGTGAGAACTGTCAACTTGTCCAAAAGGATCTCCAACAGAAAAATCAAGGCTTTCTCAAGATTTGGAAGGCTCCAGATTAACACTGACCCTGCTTGCTTAACCCTGACATACTAAAGCACACTACAAGTCCTTTCCTTCTCGTCCACATCCATCAAAGCCCCAGTGCCTCAGACAAGTCCCTCCCACCTAACTTTAATGTCTAGATCAGTACCCGACAACAAGTCTTGCTTCGGATTCCTCTAGGGCCATTCCAAAATTTCTAAAACAACCTTCCTGTCATTCAAGCATACTTCGTGCTTTAGGTTCAAACTCACCTTCACCTTCATTCCCACTTCACTACATTCCTCCTGCTCAAATTCAGAGGATTTACTCTACATACCTCCTCTCAAATCCTTCAGCTACCTTTGTCAGTGTGTTGTGTATGTCCTAAATCTCTTTATGTCACAAATATTCTAGGTGTGCAATATTCAGCCTGTACTACTTCAATACCTTTCCTTTAAATACGCTTTCCAGGTGATAGCCCCTCATTCAAAATCTGTTTTAAGTACCAGGACGGTCTTCTCCAAGGAAGTGAATATTTCTTTTGTAGTCAATGCATCGTAAGTGAAGTGATTCCCAAAAGGGAATTTGTCTTAAATGTTTGTTCTATACTAGTCTTTTTTAAAGTTTAATTTATTAGTTGCTTACTTTCCCCATAAAATGCTGTAACAGCAACCTTGAATTCTCAGATTTTAGGAAATAAAGTTTAAGATACACAAATTTGACTGAGGTATCAGCTGATAGCAGTTTTCTCAATCCAACAGATCTCAAATGAGTCAAGATTCCCCCTCTGTTAGCTTAACATACTTTGGTCCCCCACATTCAACTGCAGAAGCTTTCACAAATCGAACAGGTTGCAAGCCAACAGGTTCAATGCTCAGAGTGTTGTTTTCAACAGCTTCCAGAACAGCTGAGGCCAACTGCAAGAGAAATTTAGAAAGCAGTTAAAAACAGCTCTGTGTTATCCATTGCCTTAAAGCAGTGACATATTTCTTCTTCTGTAAAGTTAAGAACACCGAAAAAAATTCATCTCAAACAAACTCAATTATAAATGAGAATTTGCTTCATCATGAGCAAGATGTCCCATTCCAGGTTCCTGTTTAAATTCTGCCCTCCAAATAACCCTGGCCTCCCTGAGGCAAGGTAACTGCCTTTACAGCCAGGAACGTGGTCAAGCATGTTCAAAATGCTAACTGTATTTTCAGCCCAAACAGCACATCCACTTGTACACACAGTGTTCCTGACAGAGACTGGAAATGGCACAAATTTCATTTATTTTAAAAAATCACTCCAATTTTATCGTGCTCTGTGGAAACACAAAATGATGCAGCATGCTTCCTTATCTTGCAAAACCTAAGTAAATACTATATCACTGCTTTTCAGCCAAAGAGAGCTTTAGAACAGTGTTCAAACAAGTAAGACTAAACAACATATAGAAAATTATGTTGGTACATAATATATAGAAAAGCCAGCTGCAACTTTCCAACACTAGTCTGGTTAAAACATCTTCATGAAATAAAGTGCAACTTTCCTCAGGCTTTTTATTATGTTAATTCTTTATAAGCACACAATCATAAGACACTCGAAATATGCTCTTTTTGCCTGACTGGACTCAACACTTGCCCAAGACTACTGTTTTAAGTATAGACAAGTAATAGCTATTACTTGATTTAAAAGACAGTGCAATTTGTGTTATTAGTGAAATAATTCTCTGCCAAAAGTTCCTTCCTACTAAGTAATAAATATATTTTTCTATTGTACTTTGAGTATTTTAAAAACAGAATGTTACTATTGAAGTAGTTCATCTGAAATACTCTTTCTCTGCCATCTCCCAAAAGCAAAACAAAACACTACACATATACACAAGAGGCTAATGAGAGTTAATGCAATACTTCAACCGTTCAGCTAACTGCATTTCTAATTATTCAAAAAAGATAATACATGCAAGACAATATTTTTTGGTTTAACTGCACATTAGTTTATTAATATTCCAGTGAAATCAGAAGTTGGTCACTGGGCAGAGCATCTGGAAACAATAACTGATATAACTGACAAGTGCTAGAAGCCTCATTCTTTCCTTAAGAGGAAATACAAGTCTACAGTAATTATATCACCACTGAAGCAGGAAAAAAAACCCAACCAAACAAAATTAAGTTGCTGGGAAAGACAACAGGATGGCCTACTTACACATGCTGCAGAAGCAATTTAATTCCCATAGTAACCAAGTAAACTTTATAGTGAGATAGGTTCATATGATGCTGTACACCAACCGTAATGAACCGTATACAATTAACTAGAAGATCACACATGCTTATTGCCAGCAAGTAACAGCAGATAAAAAGCATGGGAAAAAAACATAACATCACATGAAAACAACAGATAAACATGAAGAAAACGCAGCATTTTTGATGTGATGTGTTTAATTTTATTGGGGAAAAAAAATTCAAGTCTGAGGGCTTTAAAGTTTGTTATTCTTATTTGGTCCCTTTCCCCTAGGGACTGGTATCACACCTACAGCCTGTAAACAGTGCTTAAGAACAAAAAATAAGTAAAGCAGTTGCAGTTGGAATCAGTTCCACATTATTCCCAGGATGGGTAAAACTCCAGTCTTTCCTCCGTATGGGAGTGTGTGGGAATAACACAAGGAAAAAAAGTCTCATAATTCATTTAATCTAAAACCATATTCCCAAACCGCCCCTGTGGAATCACATCAAATCCCAAAGTCTAATTCTTGTAACCTCCCAGACTGTGCTTGCAGCTTGCTCTGATACGAGAGAAAACTGGTCCACAAAATTAAATATATTGGTCTCTGCTGCCCCCTATACAAACAAGAGACAGTGACAGGACACTATTTCTACAAAACAGTATCTTCGAAATATCAGTGGAAAAAACCCACCATTCATTCCTACAAACATCAGATTCTGCCAGAGAGCAGTAACATCTGAAGGAGCAGACCTAAAAAGGCCGTATCTGGAATAGCATAACGGTGAAGAAAAAACATAATTTCAGTACTCCAGACTAAACGTCAGCACTTCACTGTAAACTGTCACACTAATGAAACAAAAATGGTTAAACTTCCTATGAAAACGTTTTTAATACAGTCTATTGGCTTTGTGTAAAATATTTAAGTGAAAAGTGTCAGTGACCACATTTAGATTATTTCCATTACCTCACTTTTTGAGAAGGTTAAACATGGAAAAATATCTTCCCGGTAAATTTTGTCCAAGAAAGGACATGTTCTGTCCATAGTAGGCTCATCCTTCCAAGATCTGAATTCATTGTACAAAGACAGGTCAGCCTAGAATATACACACACAGAGTTACATATTTTAGTACCGCAACTATCACACTAGAGTCTATCATTTCCAAATTCCAAATTCCCACAGGATAATGAGCATTAAAACTAAATGCTTTCCCTTGCGCTGTGAACAAATGCTGTCATGCCCCAGCTATGAACACCTTCTTCAATCCAACTTTCCTAAGAGTGTAAATATAAGCAAATCAAAACATAACATTTTCAAGACACAGAAGTAATGCATTCACTGGTCACCACAACACCAGGAACAAGATAGTTACCTCTCCCCCATTTCCTAAGCTTTCAGGATAGTTTTGAAACACTTCACTGATTGTTTAACAGAAAAAAGAAAAAAAAATTTCTTCTTGATGTATCTCCATTACAATATTTTAGTCCATCTGCATTTCTGCAAGTTACAGAAAAGCAGAGAAATCTAAAGAAAATAACTGCAATCCTAGACACCTCTTATGTTCACCCTGCATCTGAATATAACACACTGCTATTTGAATGTTATAATAAAACAGACATTTAGCACACTAAATACACTAACACAGGAATTCAATATAAAAATCAATTAAAACTATACTCTTACTCTTAATTTTTCATCTTTATGTCCAAACTCTCTCCTACACCATGCTACAACAGGAAGGCAAGGATATTCACTGTGCAGGATTTATGAGCCTGCTCCCTCACAGCTCCTCTAATCAACAGAGAAATACTAAAACAACCCATGAAGACACCCTAGGAGTAAGCATGCTCTGTGTTAGGAAGAGATGGATTTATCTGCTTTGAAAACACCTTGTCACCTCCATATTGAGATCAGTTCAACAGTGGGAAGGCACCTATCCAGTCTGGTGTTCAGGAGACGGGTGCTAGGTCACCATTAAAATCCATGTTTGTAAGATGGGGCAGCCTGTCCCATGGGCTGGCAACCCACTAACAGCTGGAGCACACTGAGGTGCTCCCAGAGCACGTCATCTGATTCAGGGTTACTTGAGCAGGATCCTGTTCACGGGCACCAAGACGAGAACCAAACAGAGTGGGGATGGCTGCTTCTGACACGTACCCCTAGTCCAACGTTCCCAATGGGATATGCAGCACCATCCTCAGACTGGTTTTGACATGCTGCTGACGCAGACTTCAGCACCTGCCCCTCCACCTGGTTGTTAAATCCCTTTCTTGTACTATAGCAGACTCCTACTCCTAAAACCCAAAGGAAGGGATGTATGCTGCAGACCAAAGATAACCCAGGATATGATTTTAAAATTTTCCAATATTAAAAACAAATAATACAGATGAGATAATGAAAGAGGGAAAATGACACATGCTGAGAATTAAAATAATTTATTTTTAATCCTATTAAAAAGATCAGTACACCGCTTTGAACCAACCTCTCTCAGTCTTTCATTCTTTCACCATGCATTACCCCTTCTCTGAGCTCC